TCAAAGCTTTACCTATTAAGGACAAGAGGACTGTATAACCACTTCACTACCACACCTAGTTCCAAAACTGGCTGTTTTGTTATGTTTTGATAGATTTAGGTTGGGGAGAAACCATAACAGTAATACTATTTATGGTTCATCTCCATTGCTTGCTTTGTGTCAGACCCATACAACACACATTCTTTCGCAAAGTATTTGAGTTGGTTTACATTAAAGAAAAATAAATGGGAGAGGAGGAAAAACTACATATACATATTCATACTTTAAGTACAGCTATGGCAATTTCATTAGCACTGAAAGCAGGGAGACATTTTCAAGAGTTTAATCCACTTGTCCTCTCTAGCACCCTAGGAAATATGTACTTTAAATGACACTTGTTTTTAGAGATGGAAACTGTGACCAAAATTTGATTATTATATCCCTTACTTGTCTTCAAAGGCCAGAATTTAAATACACATATACATATAAAAACCAAACTCTGTTGGTCTTGTTACTACTTTAAACAATAGGAATTTCAAACCTGTTCTCTAAAATCATTATTCGTTCCGCCTGTCACCAAAAAAAAACCCAAACTATTCTTGTGCGGTCTCCCTCTTAAGTTAGAATTTTGAATGTTCTTCAATGAATGACCCTCTGACAGAGTCTCCTAAAGCTTGTGCCAGGAAAGCTTTCTCCCAAATACGACGATAGGATTCTTTCCACCGAACAATTGAAATTATGAAAATCTTCATTTTGCCTCTTTCATTTTACTATTGAGGAAGTTTTGTGCTCAAGTGCTATTCTTTATCTCAGCAAGAGGTTTTTGAAATTTTATTTATTTTAAAAATAATTGTCTTTCATTGTGAACCATAGTAAGTCCTTTTGGAAGAAAACAGTACAAATAAACAAAGAAATAAAATGCAATCCTGTTGGGGCTATGCTAGGGATGTAATAATTTACCAAATTGGTTTATATAACACCCTGAAACCTTTTTTTTGTCTGAAAGAGAATATAATAAGCAGAGTCCTGTACAGATATTATCTTTCATGGTGTTTATGACATTTTTCATGCCCCTCAAATAACATTCCAAACCGCTTTGGGTAAAGAACTTAACATCTAGAGAAAATTAGCTGATTACTCTCATATGTCTTCTTGTTACAGGGATCTAATTGAAGTTCTGCATCTTATTCAAAACTGCACTCTAAAATAAACCAATTTAAATCTACATTTATCAGTCAGGCTTAAAACAAAGAACAGCTTCACTCATTTCAACTATTCACTGGGTAATAGCTATGCTTAATTTGTAGATTTCTATCCAGTTCCAAAATTTCTTCTAGGAACCAAGCCATATCTTGTCCCAGAGATTGATAAACACTCCACGTGTCAGTGCACACATCCAAGAAGCCAGCTGAAGGACCAAGATGTAAGTAATTTAACAACAAAATTCCATCATCTCAAGCTTGCTACCCATTTTGTTGTGGTGGCCGGGGGTGGGGGGGGGGAGACCAGGGCCATTGTCAGAGACTGAACCCAGGACCTTCTGCATGTGAGAATGTACTCTACCATTTTAGCCACGTCACCAACCCAATCTGGTGCTTTTGGATGATTGATCTTTTCAAAGAACAAAGTCTTTCCTCTCCAGAACTTTCATGAAGAGTACAGCTATGCTTTTATTTTATTTAAAGATTTATTTTATATTTAAACATTTCAAATAAATTTTTATTTATGGGACTGGAGTGATAGCACAGAGGGTAGGGTGTTTGCCTTGCACGTGGCTGAACTGGGTTCGATTCTCAGCATCCCATATGGTCCCCCGAGCACCGCCAGGAGTAATTACTGAGTACATGAGCCAGGAGTAACCTCTGTGCACCGCTGGTGTGACCTAAAAAGCAAAAAAAAAAAAAAAAAAAAAAAAAAAATTATAAGAAAAACCTAAATGAACAAAACAGAAAAAAATACAGAGAATTATTAAGTGTTGGAAACAAGGACACATTATTTATTAGGGACAAAAGAATGTACTTTCCAGCATAAAGTTACATTTTGTTATTTCATTCCTATTCAGTCTTAGCTTGTTGGATCATTTGCCCCTTTACTTCTTAGTATGATATTTTCTATTATGCATGTATTTTCATACAAACTTAAGGATAACTGCTTTGTTAGATTCTTTGTAATATACAATTCAAGGATCAAAACAACTTCTTGTCTTGATACTTAAATTGCAACTTCTCTGAAACTGCAAAAAGTATGCAAAGTGATATTTACAGCACAGATTGGCTTTTTCAAAGGAAAATAAAATTATATCAATCTATGGCATTTGCTATTGAGCTTAAATTTCTTTAAGAATCCACAGCAGTTATTCACCTTTTGTATACTAATTAGACAAATTTATTCCTGTTGGCACAGAGAACAGAATCAGACCAAGCACTCAAATAAATTGAGTTACAGCCTGGTCATAATCAGAATATATGCGTTGCCAGTGAAGTTTTAAAACGCTTGCTTATTTAAGGAAGCATTAAAGCTTCTATTTCTCATGAAAAGTGTGCATACCATCACCCTGAAAAACAGACCTCAATATGATATGGGCACTATAGCACTTCTTAGAAACTGTGACAAGTTCCTATGCTTTCTTCCTGATCTATGACATGCATCTATGTCAGGACACAGATTTTCTGTGAAGATAATTCAAGTGTAAGCGCCAATACATCTTTCCCAGTCCCCCTGCAAGGCCCTGGCAGGAGCCTTCTAAATACACTCACATGGTCCTGTGTTTTTGTATAGTCGGCAAAAGTAAGCTATTTTAACCATCGGGTCAGCTGAGACAGCAAGCACTTTCCACTTTCCCTCTGTCACTTTCCCTTATACTTGGATGGTGCTGGAGTAGCTTGGGTGTTCTGCATTTGTTTTGTTATTTCTTTGACTTGGAGAGGATGAACCAAACTGCTTAAATTTTAGACCTCAGATGCCGTTATCAACCCCAGCGTATGCTAGTAGTACCTATTCTATAGGGATGTGCTAAGCATTAAACGAGGAAATGGACAGTGCCTTAGACAGGGCATGCATTCAATGGTTGCTACACAAGCATTTTCTTGTGTGTGTGTGTGTGTGTGTGTGTGCGCGCGCACCATGTGTGTTGTGTGTGTGTATGTGTGTAGCTGTTTCAGCTAATTTGAAAAGAAATTAGAACATTATCCAGGGCCTCTAAAGCTACTATAAGCCTTAGAACTATGTCTAATGGAAAAACTAGTTATTTCTCCAATATATATAACATTTCCCAATTAGTAAAGATTCAAAAAGGGGCCTGAACAAAAAACTTTAAACAGGGCTTCAAGTGCTCCTAGCAGAAGCATCTATTCCAAGCAAGATCTTAGAGGTAATAGAATTTAATTTGGATGTTAAAATAGACAGAAGGATGGAGTTGGCCATTCAAAAAGTGTAGGGCATACCTAACTGAAATTAGTATTTTCAGGAAAGGAGTGCCTACTTTTAAATTTTCAAATAGTCTTTATTATTATTATCATTAAGGTTAGGTAAGTTAATGGCGTTGCTGTGCCAAGTTACTGCACCCCACAGCCCTCATCCTTATACGTTACCTTCCGAGGATGCCTACTTTCCAGTCATTGTAGATGCTCGTGTTTTGTTGCTAATTTAAATAGCATTATGAGCGGGAACGGTTTCAGAAAACTTGCTTCATTTTGCCCATTTAGAAACTGGTTTGGAATTTCACCCAAAGATCTCTAAAAACCACGTCTCCCCTGGTGCTGGTGCATCAGATAAATCACAAATGAAACAAACAAGCCCGCTTCCCATGGAAGGTGTGTCTGCAAAGCCCTGTGTCTCTGCGTGCCAGGGACTTTATCTGGCACAATTCTGAACTTTGCAAAATTAATTGCGCCAAAGAGAACATCATCAAACGCGTCCGGCGTAGAGTGTAAACATCTTCAAACCCATGCTCCTGCGCCATCAAAAGCCTCTCCAGCTAATTTCATTTGGTGCATTGCTCTGGAAGAAAATCGAGGCCAAGTGAAACTGCGGAAATGGGAACAATGCGCTGAGGAAAGGAAAAAAAAATCCTCACCCCATTAAGGGATCCGTTTCTTTCTCAGCACAAATAAGCCCACCACGCCTTGCAGGCAAGACTAGAAGGCTCCAGGATATTCTCAGAGAGCCCCCGCGGGCCCTGATCGGGCTGAGCGACTCCTGCCCCGGGTCGGGAAAGAGGAGGGCGGCCGGGGTTGCAGCACCCCAACTGGGAAGCGGGAGTTGGAGGGGCGCATTTTGATAACCCCCCCAAATCCAAGCGCGCACACCTCGCGGCCCGAAAGGCTGGGAAGTGGGCTCCCTGGTGTGCTTCCAGAGCAACCTAAAATGCGACCCCTAGTTTCCCCCTCTCAGCCCCGCACTGTCTCTGCAGGGCGCACGGGTCGCGTCCCGCGGCAGCCGCGGTCCCGGCCGGCCTAACGCGCAGCGCGGCCCCCGCCGGCCGCAGGCTCTCCCGCGGCTCTCCGTGACCTTCCGAGCTTGGCCTCCGCCCCGGCCTCTCGGCGGAAGCGCCACCCCGGCGCTCCGGGCCCGCGCGCCGCCGCGTCGCCCCCCGACTCCCGGGGGCGGCCCCGCAGGCGAGCGCGGACGCGCGCGGCGGGGGCCACGGGGGCGGGGGGAGGCGGAGGTGGCGGCGGCGGGAGCGCGCGGGCCGCTTCCGGCGGGGGCGCGCGGGGCGAGGGCGGCGGGGCGGGGCGGGGCGGGGGGCGGGGTCGGGGCCGCAGCGCCCCCAGCCGAGCAGCGTGCAGGCGCCGCCCCCGCGCGCCGCAATCCCGACAGGACAGCGCGGCGGTGACCGTCGCCGTTACCGTTGCCTCGGGGCGGCTCTGGCGGCCGCAGCGGTGCCCGGGGCTCGCCGAGGGCAGCGGGCCGCCCCTCGCCGGTGGCCGCCGGGAGCAGCGCGGCGCTGGGACAGCGGAGGCGAGACGGCGGCGGCGGCGGCGGCGGCGGCTGGTGCCGGGCCCCCCCCACTCCTCCTCCTCCTCCTCCTCCTCCTGCTGCTGCTCGCCTCCAGCCCCGGGGCGACTGCTGACTCCGGGCAGCCCCCGGGCGGCGGCGCCGGCGGCCGAGGCCACGGCGGGGGATGGCGAGATAGCGGCGCGGCGGCGGCCCGTGAGTGCCGGGGCGAGTGGGCGCGGCGCGGCGCGCGCGGTCCTGTCCGGCGGCCCGCGCGGTTCCCGGGGCACAGCTCGGCTCCCCGGGGGGTGGGGGGCGTTGGGGAGGAGGTCCGGGAGGACGGACCGGGCTGAGGGCGCCCCAGGTTCGAGTGCGCCCCGGATTCCTGCGGGGACCGTCCTGGCTTTCCCGGGGAGGGCGCCCGACTCCCTGGCCTCGAACTTCTGGCGCCGAGCAGTGAAGTTCTGCGACCAGAGGCCACCTGGGGGATGGGAAGCAGTTGGGATTTGGATTTTTTTTTCCCACCCCCTTTTTGGATCCAAGTGATCTCGAGTCTCAGATCTTGCTTTAAAGTAGTAGTTCTGGTCTCCTCGTGGGTTCACGGTGCGTTGTTGGCCACTTACCTGAGTGTCCCCCTACCATACCGTCCCCCCCCCCCCCCCCCCACACACACACACCCCTCCTCCAGCCCGTGCTTCTCTCCGAAGGCGCTAGACAGATCTAAGCCACCATCCGTCTGGGAGATTCAAGTGAGACTCCCATGAAAAATGCCACTTCTGGTCTGTGGTCCGAAAGACGGAGCTCGAGTCTTGATTCTGACCGACAGAAATTTGAAATGTGAATTTGTGTTTGGGCTGGAATAATGTGACTCTGGACCTGATCTTCAGAAATACACACGAGCTCTTGTTGTATTTGCAGTTGAGTAGCTTTGTGTGTGGCTCTCGAAATCTGTGTGATCTCTTTATTTGCAGTTGGGCATGTGTGTGTTTAATCCAGTCAAATATTGATACTCGATGTGTACTCTCAGTAACAGGCGTTTTGTATGAGCATGCCCTTTTTTTATTTGCATTTTAATATGTTCTTTTAAGATACCCCCTTTCTGATTGAAAGGTTCAAAGTCTGCTTTCTGATTGGCTCGTTTTCAGTTTTAGATTTGTATTTCAAAATTGCCCTGCAGTCAGATGAGTGTCACATAGTATCATTTAGTCAGAGGTCCGTGGAGGTTTCTTAGTTTAGTTTACAGCAAACTGGCTTCCCCAGCAGATGGAAAGATTAAGGTGTGTGTTCAGTACAAAGGATGCTTGCCCACCACCTCCTTCGATGATCATTTTGCTGTACAACTGAAATACTGTTGTATTAATATCAAAGAATTCCTTGTTGAAGCATGCCTTCTCCCCAGTAGAGGTAACTTACGTATAGAGAGTGCTCCTTTAAGGGAGCCGACTGTCCTCTTACTTCTTATATGGACTTTCTCTTATAGCCTGGGGAAACTGTTTGATTCAGAGGCTTGGTGAGGTAGACAGATGCAGGCACGATTTAAAAATGAGCCATGTTTTCAAGGTGAACTGGGCAGCAGTTTCCCTTCCAAGGACTGAATGGAGGCGTATTTGCTTTGTAATAGGTGAGATCACAAGCCGGCTCTTTAATTAGCGGAGACTTGGATTCTCTTCGGGAAATAAGGATCGGGAACTGTGCTCATGGAACCAACTTCGGTGATTTTTTTTGTCTTTAAGCTTTTGTGTCTTGATGCTGATCCCTGAATATCATTTTGGTGATAGGGGGCTGTTCTGGTGTTCGAATGGATCAAATTAATTCCTGGGTTGGGCAGTCTCTGCTCCTGGAGAAGATTCAGCATAAAAGTGCAGAGGAGCCTCTCTCTCTTCTGCCCAATAGCCGGTTCTCCTCTGCAGGAAACGGTTACCAGCTCCCTGTGTTAGCAGCAACATTTTGTTTGTGTTCTTTTTATTTGTCTGTGCACAAGTGAGGACACATCCTGTACTCAGTTCTGCACCAGCTCTTTGGCCCTCTGTGTCCAGGGCTGATTCTTGGCAGTCTCTCCATCAGGACCTCAGAGAGCCGTCTCGCTCTCTGACAGCTGCTGAGTATTCCATTAACGGAGAACCATAATTTATTTAACCTCTTTATTGAGGTATATATAGGTAATTGCTTATCTTTTGATGCAGAATAGTGAAAAGCTCTCGTTTGGGGGCGGAGGGTTGGAGTGGGTTTCACTACTTCTGGAAATGCAGTGCAATAGTAGCTTCTGTTTGCATCAGGCTCCAGGAAATATATGTCCCTTCTCTCTGTCCAAAAAAAAAAAAAAAAAGCTTTTGCTTTGCTATAATTTCAGAGCCATCCATATAAGCTTGGGTATCGTTATGGTGAAACGTGAGCCAAAATGGCCAGTCACTAATGTCATAGAGAATTTCTTGTTTGACATCTTTGCTTTTTGTTTCAGCAAAAGAAAGAAAAGCACTGGATGTAAAATTTAAAGAGCTACCTGTAAGGAAAAATGCTTAACAATTTAAATGTTTTTGAATAAGGTGAAAGTCTCATACCGTGGCTCAAAGATAGGTGCAGTGTGTATTTCATGCCATTGTACACTAAAATGCACATCAGCAGCACCTCTGGTTTTAATGTTGCTCCACTTGGGAAGGAGGTCATTAATAATTTCCCAGGGGGTGCAATTTTTAATGAAAATAGTTGTTGTTTTGAAGTTAAAAAGTTGAGGTCTTAGAGTGCTCTTACAGCAGAATAAATTGTAGAAGTAATTTTGCTGCTAGGAACGCAGTCTGACATGGTGCTGTTTGACTGTTTGTGATGTTGGACTATATATTTCCATGATGCTTATTTTTGAGAGTGTTTTTTTTTCTTTTTGGGTCACACCCAGCCAATGCTCAGGGGTTACTCCTGGCTCTGCACTCAGGAATCACTCCTGGCAGTGCTTGGGGGACCATATGGGATGCTGGGAATCGAACCCCGGTTGACCGCATGCAAGGCAAACGCCCTACCCACTGTGCTATTGTTCCAGCCCCTTGAGAGTGTTTTTAAGACTTTTTGTTTTTAAATCTATGAGACATACTTTTACGTGCATGGTGTTCATTCCTTTATTATTGGTACCTATCATGGTGACACAAAACTTCTAATGCTGTCTGTATTTGTTCTGAAGTATTTGTCAAGCAGCAGTTATATTCCAGGTACCTGGGGGTGGGTTGGGGATAAGACTATAGCAGTGTGCAGAACAGACCCCGATAGATTGAGTGTTCATCTAAGTGAGTGAAAAGGACAGAAAGCAGTAAAGAAGATGATCTCAGAGAGTGATGAGTCCCGGTGAAGTAATGAACCAGATGCAGTTGCCAGGAGAGGCAGGGTGGCAGCTGCTGTTTTGAATTGAGTAGCCCCCGACGGCCCTGTGGGATGGAGGTATGAGCTGATTGCTGCCGATGGGGGAGAAGGTCTGGAGGCAGACAGACAGGATCAGACAGAGACAACAGCAAGCACAGAGGCCTCCAGGCGGGAACTAAGCCTGTGTCAGGGAACGGAGGGCTCGGCAGTCGGCCTGGGTGAGCTGATGCTGGAGAGAGAGAGAGGCAGGGGTCAGAGTGGCGGGCGGGAGAGGGCAGGATGGGGGCTGAGTGCCCCGCGCATTAGCCTGTGTCCAGGCACGTTTGCCCAGGTGGAGAGATCCTGGCCCGGGGCTCCCTTCCTCCAGCTGGAAAGTCCAGGCAGGCGGGCATAGGCCTGCTCTATTCTTGCTGTGCCTGCAGCCCTGATGGCGCTGGCCCTGTGGGCCAGGACTGACTTAGCTAGGGGGTTTAAGGTGCAGTCGTGCCTGGTTTTGGTCAGCATCCTTGATCTGGAGACTTAAGGTGCTGGGGACAGAACATAGAGCCTCACACAGGCTGAACCCTGGACTCTGCCATTGAGCTGCGTCCCAGGCCCTCCTTAGCCTTCTGTCATAGTGCTGACTCCGACATGACCCGATCTGCTGCAAAGCTTGCCCATCCTCCTAAATCACTGCTGGAATTGGGGTGCACTTGTGTGTCAGTCTGCGACGGTAATGTAGGAGGCCTTAAAAACCAACCTCCTTTTCCAGGCCAGGGCGGGACAGGGATGTCTGAGTAATTTTATCAGAAGTTTCTCTCTGGATCGGTCATTTGCTTAAGCGTAAAATTTCCAAAGATTCCTGTTTCTGGGTGCTGAATGTTTTTGTTCCTTTGGACGGAGGACACACTAAGCACAGCGAGCAGAGATGTGCTCTGTGCAGGTACTGTTAGTCTCACAGGAAAGAACAGAGGCATGTTCTATTCTAGGCAGTATCAGGAACTGTGGCATTTCCTCTTCCCAACTTCTGATCTGTTTGTCATTCTAAATATATGTTCCTTTATATTAATTGAGAGCTTGGGAAGTGAGTCTGGTGCCAAGCAATTGTTATTGGTATCTAATAGGGATCTGTCATCTTGTCTTGCCTGTGACTTTTGGGCGCCTGTTCAGCATCAGGCGTTCTGTGATCTTGAGGCATCAGGTTATATTTTGGTTTGTTTGTTTGCTTGGGGGCCCATCTGGCGGTGGTGCTCAGAGCTCACTCCTGGCTCTGTGCTCAGGGATCACTCCTGTCGAGCTCCCGGGACCATATGGGGTGCCAGGAATTGAACCTGGGCTGGCAGCTATAAGACAAGTGGCCTACTTGCTGTGCTATCTGGTCCCAAGACATGAGAGTTGTAAACTTTTTTGGATTTCCTGTTCTTAATGGTTTGGTACGCAAGCCCACTAAATGGTAATCCATGTAAGATAACTTTATCTTCAAACTTGTTCTCCTGAGTTCTGCAAAAATGTTCTGTAAAGGGTGTTAGGAACTCCTGAGTCCTGAGCAAAGTTGCCTTTGTCCTTTGTCACTGTCCTTACTCTGGCAGGCTGCAGAAGCAAGTAAGCATCTGTTCTCTATGTAACTGGTTGTGGTATATTTAAGAGACTTGGCTGCTTGGGTTAAAGTACCATTTGTTCTGTTCTGTTTTACTACTTTCATGAAGTGTAGAGATGTAGGAACTTAGAATTTGTCTGATGTCCTCAAAAGTTACAATGTATATATTCTTTAGTTTGTTTGGGGGCCACCAGCCAGAGGTGCTCAGGACTTAAACTTCAGGCTCTTTGTTCAGGGATCACCCCCGGTGGGGTTGGAGTGGGGCTTTATGCAGTGGCAGGCATTGAAACGGGGT